TCATTATGGGAAGGAACTGTGCATCTTAGTTCCACAGAGTAACTGATGGATTTGAAACACCAACCTTTTGACAGGTTTAGCACTATACCTTAAATCCTCTAGACACCTCTTAGAACCCTGTCTGTCCATGCTACGTCATTGTATAACTTTCTATGATTTTGGCATTAATCCTTTCAAATAGTTAGCTCTTTGTGGCAAAGCCCACATCTTTCCTGGTCAAAGGTGAATCTTCACCATATAAATGTTCCCAACACATAGAAGATATGTCAGACTGGATCATATGAGATTGTGGCATCAAGATTGGAGGAAGACTCATCAACAACCTCTGTTATACAGAAGACACCACCTTATTTGCCAAAGAAAATAAAGGATATTTGAAACGCTTACTGAGTAAGATAAAATACTGTAGTATACAGTAAATGTTAACATCAAGAAAACAAAAGTCCTCACCACTGAACCAATAGGCAGTGTCATGATAGATGGAGAAAAGAGTGAAGTTGTCAGTGATTTTATTTTACTTGGCTCTACAATCAACATTCATGGTAACAGCAGTCAAAAATCAAAAGAGATGTTGCATTGGGAAAATCTGCTGTCAGAAACCTGTAAAGTGTTAAAGCGCAAAGATGTGAGTTTAAAGTGTGCCTTTGCTTCCTAAGCATCTGAGAATTGGACAGTGAATAAGGAAGAATGAAGAAGTACCTAGGCCTTTGAATTGTGGTCTTGGGGAAGAGTACTGAATATCCTGTGGACTACCAAGTCCACCCCTATGTGTGTCATGAAGTGCAACCAGGGTGCTACTTACAGGCAAAGAGGCAAAACTTTCTCACATACTATGGGCATATTATCAGGAAGAACCAGTCCTTGGATAGAGACATCATGCTGGGAAAGTGGTGTGGACTACCCTCAACGAGATAGACTGACACAGTGACAATGGACTTGAGCATATCAGAGATGGTGAGCACGTGTTGTTCATAGGGTCGCTATGTGTTGTGGTTGACTTGATGGCACCTAACAACATCAACAGCTGAGGGAGAGATGTCAATATGGAATTAAGTAGATGTCTAAGAGATTTCTTGGAGAGAAAACCCTTCAGATTGTGATGGAAGTCTGGCCCTATGGAGAAATGAGGCCAGGAATGAAGATTGAGTAGAAAGAACCTTAGACTGCAGGGCAGCTCTAAGAAACCTTCAGTAGTGTCAGCGAGGACTTCCCAAGTTGAAGTCACTTGTTATTAATCAGACACAGAAATAACTGGTCTAAAGGACTAATGAATGGCCCATGAACTCCAACCTCCATTATTATCCTGTGACCAGAATTACTAGGTGCTACTGGGCTACCACTGATGACTGTTCTAATGGGGTTGCAGCAGAGGTTCCTGGACAGAGTGGGAGAAAAATGTGGATAAAACCCTCAAAATCATAAAAGTTGACCAAGATTTTGGGTTTAAGAGAGACTGGTGGAACCCCCGAGAGCATGGCCCTTAGTAACCTTTTGAGCCTGGAACAAGACTCAATCTTGTGGCTGAACTTTAAGCTAAACATACAGAGACCTGTAAGATGAACAATACTACCAGGGTGGCACTCAAAGATCATATCTTTGCCATACTCAGTCCCTGTATGGAAGCAGCCCCTGGGAACTGTGGCCTTGGGACACAACATGGTGATGAATTCAGACTGCCACAGCTGGCACCAATGGTTCATTATGCTTCCCACAGTAGGAGTTGTGAGACACACATGTTCATGCCCATTATAGAAAGGATTTAAAAAATATGAGGGTTTTTTTAAAGGGAACATTTGAGTAAAATGATAATTGCAGAAGAAAGAAATTGGACTGAATGTTCATTGAACTTGAATATTTGGTAATATTGATAGAGGATAAACATTTTGGAATTCACTCTTACTTTGCTCCAATATCTGCTCAGAAAATACTTAGTAAAAGAAGCCTTCCCTGACTACCCTTTTAGAAAAGAGAAGACTCTCTCAACCACAATATATCCTATTTCCCTTGTTCTGTTTTATAAAAAAGAAATTAAAAATGTTGAGGTTTAATTGACATAAAATAAACTATATACACTCAGGAAAATCATTATGATGATCAAGATAATTGAATGTATTTGTCAATCTTCAAAGTTTCCTCACTTGTCTTTGTAATCTCTCACTCCTTCCTTGCCCTCTGCCCCTTGCCTCAGCAACTGTTAAAACTGGTTATGTCACTAAAGATTAGCTTCTAAACTTTTATAAAAATGGAACCTTAGGATATGTGTTTTTCTGATGTAGTTTCCTTAACTTATCATAATGCTTCTGAGATTCATCCACATGACAGCATCCTGCCTTTTTACTGTTGAGTAGTATTCCCTTGTATGGACATATCAGTTTGCTTTCTATCGGTAGTAGACACATAGCAGGCACTCAATGAATATTTATTGACTAAATCTCATCTACTCCAATTCCTTCCATTTTTATTCATGTGCTGATGACTTCCATGAATGCAGAGTTTTTTTAAGTAATTAGGGAAGACTTAAGAGTTAATTATAAATGTTTCTGTCAGAGCAAGGAAACTGCATGGTTCAAAATCAGGAAAGGAGTGCATCCGGGATGTGTACTGTCTCCATACCTTTTCTGTCTATATGAAGAACCGATCATTTAGGAGCCTGGGGTTTATGAGGAGGAATGGGTATCAGGATTGGAGGAAGACTCAACAACCTACTTTATGCAAATAGCACAAATTTGCTTGTTGAAATTGAGGCAGACCTGAAGTGCTTGCTGTAGAAGGTCAAAGACTGCAGTTTTCCAATATAGATTGCATCTCAACATCAAGAAAATAAAGATTCAAACCACCAAGCCAATTGGCAGCATCATGAAAGATGGAGAAGAGATTTTTAACAATTGAATCTTGCTCAATTCCACAATCAACACTTTTGGTACCAGCAGTCATGAAATCAAAAGACAAATTGCTTTGGGGAAGTCTGCTGTCAGGAACCTCTCTAGAATGCTAAGGAGCAATAATGGCAGTCTGGAGACTAAGATGCGCCTCATCCAAGCCATGGTCCTCTCAGTTGCTTGCTATGCATCAGAGAGCTGGACAACGACTAATGATGACAGAAGAAGAATTGATGCCTTTAAATTGTGGTGCTTGGGAAGAGTCTTAAACATAACACGGACTGCCAAGAAAAAAAAATAGGTCTATCTTGGAGATAGTGAAACCAAGTTTCTCTTTGGAGGCTAGGATTTTGAAATTCCTTCTCACATACTTTGGACATGTGGCCAGGAGGGACCATTCCTTGGATAATGACATCATGCTTGGAAGGGTGGAGGGACAGCACAGGAGAGAAAGACCCTGGATGAGAGGGATTGATACAGTAACTGGGGTAATGGGGATAGGTGTGTTGGAGTCAGTGAGACTAACTGGGGGTAGAGCAGGGTTCAGAGCTGTTGTACATAGGGTCACTGTGAGTTGCAGGCAACTTGACAGCACACAACAGCAACAACATCATTGGAAAATTTGGTGAATGGTGAACAATCATAGAAACACAGCGTATTAGAAGGGGAAGTTTTATGTGAGTTCATGGAACATACCTCATTTAGTTCGTGGTATGCTATATTTGAGGGAGCTCTGGTGGCCTAAGTGGCAAGAAGCTGTGCTGCAATCTCAAAGTCATATGGTTTGAGGCCACTAGCCACTGGGCAATCTCCTCCTGTGCAATTAACTACCTCTGGACACCCGCCGGAGGGTCAGTTACGTGTCAGTTCCGACTCTATGGTACATAACAACATGCTCATTTTGAGGTTCTTATAGGGTAGTTGAAAATGTGGAATTCAGAGTGCTGGAAAGAAATAGAAATAGAAGTCTAGATTAGGGAATTCAGCCAGCTATCACATGCGATATATAAACCCATTGAAGAAGGAGATATAGAATGAGGAAGAAGGCCAAGATCACTTTAGCAATTAGTGCTGTCAAGTTGGCAAATACAGAATGGCCACTTGATGTGGGGCGGGGGCACGCATGCACATGTACACGTGCATGCCTGCCCCTTTTTGTTAGATGCCTCAGCCTATGACTCAGGGCAATATGAGCAATAGAGCTGAACTTTACCCTGTCTTGTGCCGTCCTCACATTCTTTGCATGCTAGTCGAGGGTACATTTGACGAGGATAAAGCAGGGAGAGAGTGTTTTTAAGAAAAACGTGTTAAGGAGCAGGCTTGACCAACTTTGCGGAATTCAGCAAGGGTCACATTAGATGATGGCTGAGATGAAAGCTTGGATTCCCTAATTTTGACAGAAAAGAGATTGTCCAGCGAGCCAATATTCAAGGCAATACAACAAGGAAAAAACACAGCGTATCATAAAGGAAGTAGAGGTTAAGTGTCTCGCAAGCACCAAAGAACAAGAGGGTCAGCATTTGTGGCAAAGTCCAAATGTTGGGATTGGAAGAGATCTTTGTGATGGTCTGAGTAGTAATATATGCCGTCAACAAAGCCTGGATGTTTCTTCTGTCACCTGTAGTTAAAACAACAGCAGCAGCAGCAACAACTACAGAACTTTGACACAAGGGTGATGTGTTAATAATTCACCCCAGAAAGCAACATTGAGCTGGCTGAGCATACATTCACTTTGAAAATCATAACCGGGATTTTGAAAGTTGTTCCTTGCTTGTGTTTTCATTTATACATCATAATCAGGAAAAAAAATTCCTTGTAAGAGTGAAGATTGGTTTTAGACAAATTAAATATTGGTATCCAGTGATGTATAGGCAGTGCTATAAATTCGTTTATGCAGAATTTACGAGTCAAACTTCGCCAATTAATTCTGATGGTTACTAAAAAAAAAAATCAGCCAGACGGATAATTGGGAGAAAGCAGGGATTAGTTAAGATAAACAGTAATTTTGAGTAATCAAGATGTTATTGCATCCTAAAAGAAATGTATTGTTGGTTCTTCTGAATGTATGTGTGTGTATGTTACATTCTGCTTACTGAAACATGAAAAACTTGTTTGTTTCAGGATCAGATTTGCAAGTATGCCTCCCCAAGGGCCCAACATGCTGCTCGAGAAAGATGGAAGAGAAATACCAACTAACAGCACGACTGAACATGGAGCAACTGCTTCAGTCTGCAAGTATGGAGCTCAAGTTCTTAATTATTCAGAATGCAGCGGTGTTCCAAGGTGAGTTCTGGGGGATCATTTCAGATGTGCTGCTGAATGGCATCATTATTTGGGCACTGGGTGTTCAAATGTGAAGTCTAATTTATAAATCACCATTCCAGGATGAATGCTTGATAGAAAAAAAAATCACTCACTGAGATTCTGGTTAAGCAGCAAAAATATACATTTTTTAAAAAAAGATGGCCTACTTTATCTAAATCTTGGGAAAGGTGAGTAATGTAAAAAAATTAAAAAAAAGAAAACAAGAAAAAAAAAAGAAAGAATCCTTGTCCACAGAGGTTCCATCGGCCTATACAAAAAGTTATAAATCTGTCCAGGGAGTCCAAAATATTTGGTTGTTTTTTTTTTAAAAAAAGAAACAAATTATAAATGGTGAGTCCAGTTTTTCCCAGGAGTGAAGTAGATCCATGGAGAATGAGCATCAATTCCTTCCGACCACTAGGATCATTTAAGAGGCAGAAATTGGCCTGCCTGTCTGACATGTCTCTGTTTGTGTGAATGGTTCCCTCTCCTCTCTCGCTGTTCTTCCTATGCCCTCAGAGAAACTACTCCAATGGTTTTGAAGTTGCCTTTCTTTTGGCTGATTTATAGGGCTCTTGTAGCAGGTAAGGACGGTTATGATCCTGGTGGTGTTGCTGGCAAGCTCCCACGGATAACTAAGTACTCTTGAGTCTCTGTTATCACCATTATGAAGTACATATTGTCAGTTGTTGCTGCTGCTTTGTGCCATCAAGTTGGAACCAACCCATAGCTGACCCTCCACTGGGTTTTCAGAGGCAGTAAATCACACAGGAAGAGATTGCCCATCCTTCTCTCTCCGCAGCATCTAGTGGATTTGAACTGTGTGCCTTTGAGACTGCAATGCAGCTTCTTACCACTAGGCCATCAGAGGTATTATCAGTAGTCTCATCCATTTAATGGATGGAAAACCAAGGAATAGAAGAGTGAAGGCAGAATTTGAACCTATGGAGACTAGCTCTTAGAGTTCATGCTTTTAACCTCTCAGTAGGCGGTTTCCTGCAAATGAATCATGACTATTGGAGCCTTCTTCCCTCTCTTCTCTCACAAACAGAATCAGTTGTCTCTTTCTCATCCCACAAAGAAAGAACTAGGTCTACAAGAATACCAGTACCTTCAGTTCCACATTGAAAAGCTTTGGATGTATGGCATTTTTACCAGACACCAATGCCTTGCTTTTCAAGGTGGACTGATTGCAGCATATTTTGTATATTATAAGGGAATTCTGAGACTCAACCAAGCAAATTATCCTAATTAGCTAATAAAGCATGCATTCACAACAGCTTCTTGGGTCCAGGCCTGAAGGGCTGTAGGGTTGATTATATGAAGTATAATATATAAGCTTGAAGTATTTGTTAACCTATTTCTGCAGCTAGCTCCTTGTGAAGAGTTTGTTGAGACTAACAATTTGGCAATAGAATGAATAATTTAGGTTGATTTTAAAAATACATGTAGCATTCATGTAGCTCTTAGATTGGTTTGGGAGCTAATCTGCTGACTGAAAGTGGGGTGATAAGCAGTGATAGGACATACGAATTGGGCTGCAGGAGAGAGCTGAGTCTTACTCTTTGGGGCATGAAGGTGCTTTTTTAATGGGTTTTTTGTGATTTAATTCCCAGTTCAACCAGGCCCACTGATGTCATTTCACAACCATCGCCTGGTGAGTAGATAGATTTACCACTCTGGTGTTCTAGTAGGCTGAGTAGCTGAGATGGTTGCCCATTTGAGGTCCTGGAATGTCACCATTTCTATCTCGGGTCCTGTGCCCTCCATTTACTGTACTGAGTTTTCTAGGCCTAAGCAGCATGAGATTAGGAGGAGAAGTTCTGCCAAGATTTTGAATGGATTGGCTACTATAGCATGGAAGTTGAACTCCAGTCATGTCAAGGAAGGAGAGTAATTGTTATGTACCATCAAGTCAGAACTGAGTCCTCTTTCTCCCACAGAGAGCAGCTGGTAAATTCGAACCCCATGCTTTTGGGCACAACTCTTTGCCATCACAGCTCCCTAAGAAAAGTAGAGGACAGAATACTTTCTTTCTGGAATTCTACGGACAGGCAGAAGGACATATATCACAATAGATAATGAAGAAGACAGCCAGGTGATGTCTGAAGTTGGTTTTGCTAGTATCATTCAACCTTCCCATAATATCTACTTATTCTTTTATCTCTATCTACTTATTCTTTTATCTCATTGCATTCCTGTTATATTCTTTGACTTCTTCCCCACACCCTCCGCCCACCCCCGCCTTTTAGGGGAAAGAATAGTCTCATAAGAAAAAGAAATTATGGCCCCAGATTCATGGCATTTATGACATGTTCAGAGAGACATTGTCTCACATTCTCTCAGTCACAATTCTTTGCAGAGACAAGAAGAAAATGTGTTGGAAAACTAACAGCCACTAAATGCAGATGTATTGCTAATTATCAAAAGAAACATCACCTCCTTTTTCCTTTCAGTGATTTCTTACTGCAGTGGATCTGAAAGGGGGGCTTGTTTTCCTCTAAGCTACATCCCCTCCCCAAGATCCTGATTGATCAGATTATGGAGCAAATTGTCTCAGTGCTTTGCTGATAAGAAATTAGACGTGGTGGCTTTGTGAGTTATTTGCTACACCGCGTGAAGTTGAAGAGAACTCATCTTGATCTTGGCCTAAATCCACAGTCTCTTTCGGCTTCTTTCAGTCGTCCACACCGGGGGGTTTTTGAGCAGTGAGTGCCTTCTGCAAATAACGTGCACAGTTCCACGGGCAATCCTTACAACCTCCATTTAGGTTTTATGGCTTGGTTCGCAGGAAGCCTTTGCCCTCCTAAATGAGCCTGGGGCCCTTCGCGATGGTGGTTGGAGTGCTCTATTGCTAATGTGGTTTTGATAATGATTGAAGCATTAAAAAAAGCCAAACACCCAACAAAAAAGTTGTTCTTTATTTTCAATCTAAGCATTGCCTCGTTTCCTAAATGTAATTTACTTAGATGTGTTTAGTAAAATGGGGCAGCACAATCGCTTTTGGTTTCTGCTTAATTAATTCTTTTTTTTGCAAAACTCCACTGGAAGATTTCTTGTCTCCTTGCCTTCTCTGCTGCCTACCACTAATGATGATGGCAAGAATAGTGATAGTGAATGTTTATTAAGTGCCTGCTATAGGATGCTTACTTTTGCACAAGTATCTCATTTCATTTTTTCCAGCTGCCCTCTGAGGTTTGTACCATAATTATCTCCATTTCATCCATGAGGAAACGCATTGATGTCACAGTCATCATGTGGTATGGCTTTTCTTGTTCTTAGTAAGCCAAAACCCTAATGCATGGCCTTCGAGTCGATTCTGACTCATCCTGACTCTCCATTGGGTTTCCGGTCTTTATGGGAGGAGACTTTTCTCCCACAGAGGAGCAACACATAACACACTGTGCCACCAGAGATGCTCCTGCTTTGTATGCTTGAAGGAAAACACAATTAAGACGTGGGCAGGATTTGTGGTACAAAGACCAGAATCCTGACTGTTTCATCATCTCTCCATGACCTCTCTATAGTTTCAAAACCCTGAATTCTGCTTTCCTTGCGGAATTTCATGCTAACTTTCAGCCTTGGACTCCCAGGAAATATTCTGGAGTCCGTCCAAGGTTTTCCAGGCTTCCATAAGGTGCATCCAACTTTGCAAAGGTCTTCAAAGTAGAGTAATACTTACTTTACTTTTTAGGAAGTTGCCTTTTCCAGTACTGAAATGTTTTTTGTTAGAGAAAAGTTACAGGTTAAACAGAAACTTCCTCACACACCTAATATGCATTGGAGCAACTTAGTGCTTGTGTAATTGACTTGCCTGAGAGCTCTTCGGGTCCTTGGTCAGAACCTACCAGTGTTGCAAATTTATGCAGTCTTTACAAGCTTGATTAGCTAGTGGTCTAGGTAATAGGTTAATGCACACAGTTAAGTAGAAGATTATGGACGATGCCCAGAAGGTGATACGTGGGGACAAGATGTATAAGAGTCACTGAGGACATAAAAGTGGACCCTCGCGCTCATTGAATGTGGCCGAGTGGGAACATTTGGTAGAGGCATAAGGAGCCTTAGCAATGTTGAGAGAGTAGTCTTTCAGACCCATCTGCTGCTTGTGGTTGAAAGACCTGTTGATTTGCTTCTGTAGTGATGATATCCCAGGAAACTCTATGGGGCAGTTAGTAACGTTTAGGATGGCTGTGAGCTGAAAATGGACTCCCCAGCTTCGGTAGTCCTTGTATTACAGTAGGTCAAGCAATTGATAAGGGAGCTCACTTGGTGTGGTCCGCACAGAGTTGTGCTGCCATCTCAAAGGGAATGCCTCTGGCAGTTTTGATCCATTGGTGGCTGTGCAGGAGAAAATTGGGCAATCTTCTCCCATTAAGATTGTCAATGTTGGAAACCCGGTGGAGGGTCACCTATGAGTTGGAAAAGACTCAAAGTCAATGAGTTTGTGGTATGAGCAATCTATACTCGGAATAGGGAGCTCTGGTAGGGAGCTAGTGGTAAGGAGCTGTGCTGCCAACCGGAAGCCATGCAGTTTGAGTCTGCCAGCTGCTTCCTGAGAGAAATAGGGGCAGTCTCCTTTGTGATTTGTTGTTGTTGTTCTTGTTGCTAGGTACTGTCAAGTTGAAACAAACCCATAGTTGACCTTATAGCGGCTTTTCAGAGACAGGAGATCACACGGGAGGAGATTGCCCATCCTTCACCCACCAAGCAGCTGGTGGATTCAATCTGCGTGCCTTTGGGATTGTAGCTCAGTTTCTTACTGTCTCTGAAAAGCTGCTGGAGGGTCAGCTATGAGCTGGGCCCCACTCGATGGTAACCAGCAGCAGCGTGCTTATAATACTGTTTGCGACATAATGATGAAAAATCAAATTATGTTTACTTTGCTTTTCTTAAGGAGCCCTGAAGGTGTGTTAAGTGTTGGCCTGCTAACCAAAAGGTTGATGGCTCGTATCCACCAGCCCTCTGGATGGAAAATGAGG